ATATATAAAATGTATTTAATTAAATGTAATTAATTCATTAATTTTAATTTAAAAAATATATATATATTTTATTAATAGTTTTTTTAACAAAAGTCAACAAATGGCTTTGGCTGTCTTTAGATGCATTGTTTGCTTTATTTTATTTGTCAAAAGTGACAATAACTGTCTTGGTCTCCTACTTAAAGCACTTTCAAACGTATTATCAAACTGCATGTTTTCATTAAACATCAAAAAACGCTGTTTTGTCAGCTTGCAGTGGTAAAACTGATCTAGTTTTTTGTTACTGTATCTGCTTTGCATTCATCTCCTTTCTTTATCTGTACCTTACCCATAGTTCCCTGCAAAAGTAAGTAAAACTCTCCTGGTAACTGTAAAGTTGAGTTTGATAATAGCTCAGTGAACCCAGTGTACTTCCCTACACAGATTAGCTTTGTTAGCGAGCGCCGAGTCCTTGCAGGCTCGAGAGACTGCAAAACACTACAAATGAGAGAGTTGTTGGGTCTGGTCACATACAGCCAAGACAGTCAAAGAAAACTCTATTCCCAGGCTAATTTTCTGAAACAGCTTCTGTGTTTGTGTGGCTGTTTGTTGTATAAGATGCTCCCACTGCACAAAATAAGCTATATAGACGTACATAGTGTCAGTAAATAAAGATCATGTTGTAACTATGGGCTTTTGTCATCAGCGCTGTATGACTGTGTTTAGTTATATGCAGCTCCCTTTCACTCTGTGTAAATTATTGGATTTGGAACTGCCGTCACCAATTTGCCACATGCACTAGATACATATTTGAATAATAACAGATGCTTTGAAAAACTCATATTGAACAAATTGAACATGTCTGAATCTTGCCCAACTGTAAAATAGAAACATTGACCATTGGAACACCCTCCTAAACCAATGAATGTCATATTCTTTCTGCAATTCCAGTGGTGTCATATGGATTTCTGTTTTATAAAGTCATAAAATAATCATTAATACTCATAATCAACTTTCTTAACTGAACAACAAATTAGCCAATATTATCAAATTTGTGAACTGCATTTAAAATAAAGCTGCATTTATTTTTGGTCAAAATACAGTAAAAACAGTTGAAACTTAAAATAACCGTTTTCTATTGTAATGTATTTTAAAATGTAATTTATTCCTGTGATGGCAAAGCTGTCATTTCCAGTCTTCAGTGTCACATGATCTCTCAGAAATCATTCTAATAAGATGATTTAGTGCTCAAGCGACATTTTTATTGTTGTCTGTGATGCATTTTTTAAAGGGGTGGTTGATTGCGATTTCACTTTTTTAACGTTAGTTAGTGTGTAATGTTGCTGTTTGAGCATAAACGATATCTGCAAAGTTACGACGCTGAAAGTTCAATGCAAACGGAGATATCGTCTTTTAAAATTATGGCAGTTTAATGCCTACAAAAATGGCTCGTAGGGATTACAACGAGCTACTTCCCGGGTTCGTGACGTCACAAACCCAGAAATTTACATAAACCCCGCCCCCGGGAACATGCAACAAAGGGGGCGAGGCCATGTTGCGCTGCTTTAGAGAAGAGGAAGAGTTGTTGCCATGCCGTCAAAACTAGGGGTGCGTGCATGAAAAAATATATTCATATATGAATCGTGATTCTGACTTCTAACGATTCTAATAGATTCACAAGTTTCACAATCAGTGTTCTAAAGCAGCGGTTCTCAATCCTGTTCCTCGCTTCCCACTGCTCTGCACAAGCTCTGCATCTCTCTCTCTCTCTCTCTCTCTCTCTCTCTCTCTCTCTCTCATTCAGATCACCCAGCTCAGCTCCAACAATGAACTGTTCCAATTATACACTTTTATACACTTTACGCGGTTGCCGTACTGTATTAAAGCTTTAATCAGGATAAAACCGTATATTAATAGCTAACATAAGCAGTAGCATTTACAAATAACAGCGTATCTAAAAGTATGAGACAACAACAAACAAAAAACATACCATTAAGAGCTGTGTGCAATATTGACGGCACCATTGTTTACAATACAACCGGAGAACATGCTGCTGAGCTGAGGGGCGGGACGATTAGACGCGCTTTGGGCTGGCAATTTAGTGAATCACAACACACTGGGCCAGCTAACCAATCAGAGCCCATCGCGTATTTCTGAGGGTGGGGCTTCATAAAACCAGGAACTCATCGGAGCGTTTAGGGACAGAGCGGTGTAGAATAAAGGTAAATTATGTGAAAAATAACGCGTTTTTTAAAAAACGAAGCATTAACACAAGTTAGACTGCACCCCATAAACACAATCAAGCCTAGAAAAAAAACAGTCAACCACCCCTTTAATAAATAAAAAGTCACTTTTAATCAATTTAATGCATCCTTGCTGAAAATTTTTATTTATTTCTGATTTCACAAAATAATAATAATAAATCAATAAATTAGAAAATAAATTAAAATAAATAAAAAAATTGAAAAGAAAAAAAAGCTTACTGACCCCAAACTTTTGAACAGTAGAGAATTCCTTCTCTCCTTATTTTAAACAAAGGAGTAGCCATTTACATTTAGTGCTTACAAAAATATCAAATTGATTTTAATCCAGAAATTATTACAGAATTAATGAGAGTAGAGAAAAGGTTTGTTCAATTTGTTTTTGTGAACAGCAGTTTTTGTACAGCTTTTAGCATAAACTGACCTGTAAAATTTGAAATTTAACCTTACTTTTATATGCTGTTAGTTTATATTTCCCTGAATACCTTTGCATGAGTATGACACAAAAGTGCATTGAAATACAGTATTTGACACTATGTTCCAACACTTTTCTGCTGTCTGTCCGCAGTGGTTTGCTTTGATGCTAAAATCAACTTCGACGACAATGCAGAGTTTAGACAGAAAGCTGTGTTCGCCATGGACGATACTGCGGAGAGTGACCCCTTGGAGACTGAAGCAGCCAAATATGATCTCAAGTACATCGGACTGGATGGAAACATAGCCTGTTTTGGTTTGTTTTAATCTTTCATATACCAAAAATACCAGATGAACTTCTACATGAAATAATGAACAACATACCAAATGAACTTGAAATTTCAAAGCTTTCAGAAACCTGTTCCACATCAAGCTCATGTCTCAAGGGATATTTCAAATCCAGCTTTAGAAATGCTCTTCTTAGTAGTTTCCAACATGTTTATTTTAGTCTTGAGAAGAGGATTTTGTGAAAATGTTACCAAACGGGCGCCGATCCAGTCATCATCTCCAGCAGCTCTCTTAACAGCTCCATAAGGGACCTGCCTGAACCGATGGGCTCTAATTAGCAGGAATCTTCCGGAAAAACGACTCAACCAAGATGATTGTTAGTCTACACATTTAAGTGGTCCCTCATTATAAATCACGGCTCTCACAGCAAAGCGCCAAGAAAGAAGCGTATAGACAAGACGAGCGCAGAAGTGACTCTAACTGACCTTGTCGTGTAGACACAAACGCATTCACGCACAATTTACTTGCAGTTAGTTTACACCTTAAAAGCTTTGTAAACTGGCAAAGCGACAGCTGTTCAGCTGAATTTCACTTTATTGAGTCGAGTGCCAGAGCCTGTGCCAACACGTTAGCTCAGCGCTGAAGAACAGAATAAGGGGAGATGTGTGAAGCTGGGAGAGCTGGGATGAGCAGGAAATGGCTGAATCAGTTGGCTGCCTTACAGCTCAAAGCACGACGAGATGGGACTCACCAGGCCGGCTAACACAGATACTACAACCACTCTTGACACCCTGTATACTTTTAGTCAAGCACAATTTGCTTTCCTTGGAAAGCAGTGAGCAGGAGATTTAGAGCTGAGCTGTGTTTTCATTGGGGATGGGATGTTAAATTACTTTTTTATTTGCTTTTGTCTCTGCTTTTCTTGTAAATGTGCCGTACGGACGAGACTATAGTATGTATGTATGTATAATCATGTATATACTGTAATTCCTAATTTGGAACCTACTTAAAGCCATTAGTTTGGAAAATTGTGCAGTTATTTACTCGCATTACAAACTTCACTTACAAACTTTTTTCCTTCCATGGAGCACAAGAAATTAATTAAAAAAAAATTATTCTGGCCGTTATATTGAATATTATCAAATTATATTGCGTATCATTATAGTGAATATTCTTTTCAATATAATGAAGGTCATTTAGGACTGGGGTTGTGAAATGTTAAAAGTGTCATAACAGTCCATACAGTAGTTTTTAATGAAGACCAGATTGAAATTTGAGCTGTGACAGAGTGAGTTAGCAATGTCCAAATTATTATAAACAAATCTTTTGAGATTCTTTTAATAAATCAGTTGATCCATTTTGACCCAATGATTCTTTTAGAAATCTCACTTATCTGATTAATGATTTCAACTTAGTAACTTAGTGATTTATTTGGTTATAAGTGAATAATGACTTTAATTTCCTCTATTTAACAGGCAAATCGATCATGTAGCTTCAGAATGCATGGCATATAGTTGTATAGATATAGTTGTATTTTTTTATTATATATTTTATACTTTTATTATGTTTTTATCATGGACTTGTGTCATTTTTGAAGCCTGGAGCTAGGTTCCTGTCCCTATAAATTTTAATTTCATACAAATAACCAACTGGTACATTATTATGATTAGTTCACTTCCAGAATAAAAATGTCCTGATAATTATATAAATAACCCCCATGTCTTCCAAGATGTTCATGTCTTTCTTTCTTCAGTCGCAAAGAATATATTGAGGAAAACTTTTTCCTTGGTTGTGATCGTGTAGAGCGCTTTGAAACTGCATTGATTGAAACTACACTTTGGACCTTCAACCCGTTGGGTCCCATTGAAGTCCACTATATGGAAAAAAAAATCCTGGAATGTTTTCCTCAAAAACCTTAATTTCTTTTCGACTGAAGAAAGACATGAACATCTTGGATGACATGGTGGTGAATAAATTATCAGGAAATTTTTATTCTGGAAGTGAACTAATCCTTTAACACATTTCTTCTTTTGTGTTCCATAGAAGATTAAAAGTCGTACAGGTTTGGAATAACATGAGGGTCAGCAAACAATGATCATTTTTAGCTGAGCTAATATTTTAATGTCCAAAATATGGTCTGTATCCACAGTTAATGGTGCAGGCCTTGCTATGGCAACATGTGATATTATCGACTTGCATGGTGGAAAGCCTGCTAACTTCTTGGACCTGGGTGGAGGTGTAAAGGAGAACCAGGTGTATGCAGCCTTCAAGCTTCTCACTGCTGATCCCAAGGTAGGAATGATTCTGTTCATCCGAACCAAAAATGTGAATACCCAAAGTAAGTTTACTTCCACCATAAAAGATTAATATAAAGTTGTTTTGCGACTTTATAAGAAATAAAAAGTTAGTTGCGCTCCTTTAACTTAATTACAGTTCTCAATTTAGTATTACTTTTCTGCTCTTTGAAGTTTCCTCTGTGTGAGATTTTGTTGACTCCTTAGGCACCACAAAAGACTATGGGCTTGCGGCCGAACCCAGTTCTTTTTACCATCATTACGAGCTTGTGCTCTGATCAATATCTTTGCTACAGTCACACTTTTCAGCTCTGGAATTGTAAACACACCAAGACACACACACACACACACCGCATAACTCATCTTTTCACCAATTCTTTTCTCCCCCAGACACACACTTGCTGTCCTCCTCCTGTTGATTACTCGCTCTGGAGCGCAAGATCCTTTTTCTTGAAGCTTTTACGAGCCGAGGAGTTGTTTCTCATATAATGATCCTTTTCCGAAGCAGACAGGAATTCTTGGCACGTTGCTGATAATTTGCTTGTATTTGTTGTAAGCACACATGTCAATATGCACCTGATTTGGTTTCAGCTGTTTGTATTCAGGATGCACACTGACATCTTCATAACAGAACTCTGTTTATAATAATGTGAAACAGAATTCATCTAGTATCATGTTCATTGTGTGTCAGAAAACAGGAGTGCTGGGATTTAATAGCACACCTTGCTTTTCGAGTATTCTAGCTCGAAGCTGCAACACCACGCACATGCAGAAAGTGATTTCATCTAAAGATTGAATCACTTCATATTCATATTGTTCTCAGATGAAATATACACTTTTGTTTTTCTATGAATTTATCAGCAAAGGAAAACAGAGCAGAAAACCATGAAACACAATGGGCAACATTCATTGTTGCCAAACAACACAAAAATATGCATTAATGCTACATTATTTTGCCCACCGAATCATACTTGATTAGATAAAGGAGGCGGAAAGATTGTGTTGAATATTTTCAAAGCATATACAGTTGAAGTGTATAGTTCCAGTCTCCTCCTGTCTCTCCAGCCCTCCTGTCATCAATGGGGTACCTGAAATTTTCTAAGCTCTATTGGGGTAGAGTGGCGGCCCTCCCCTGCAGTCACACAGTTCCCATTCTGGAGCCTCTGTGTACAGTGATTTGCATTTCACAGACGCATTCACAGCCACCCAGGCTCTGTGGAAGGAATATTAATGGGAATGTTAATTATTGGATCCTCTGGCAGGATGAAATACGGAGTAGCCTTCTATCTTCCATCGGAAATGTTTGATTTGTTTGCCTCCTTCAAATCGTTCTCATTAATTTAACAACTGATTAGTGGTCGGAATCAACCCATCCACAACTGTCAAAAAAAGCTGCAAAAATGAACGGGAAAACGAATAATTCAAATGGTCCTAAAACTGACACCTGAGGTACACCACTCTTCTAGTATAGGGATGTATTTAAGGAATGTTCTGAGGTTCAATACAAATGAAGCTTAGCTGACAGCAGTTGTTGTATGATGTTGATTATCTCCAAAAACATTTTTGACTTGTAATGTGTTACAATACACATTAAAATACACTGTTTATAGCCAATAGAATCAAATATTATACATGTTAACATGAGACGAACAGAATTACCTACTAACCTGTGTAAAGTTGTTGCTAACTTTAAACTAAAACCTTTTCCAAAATGTTTGTGCAAGGATACCAAGAAGGGAGGTTATGTATCTTCCTTGTTGAAGTACATGAAGTAACTTGAAGATATTATGTTGGTGATGAATAACTAGTCCTAGTCCACCTCCAGTGTGGGCCTATTGTAATAATGATTTCAAACAAATGTACAGGTCAAAAATGCACATTTTGTAAGAAAGAAATTAACGTTAGTACTTTAACACAAATGTGAGCTTGTTTTTCCTTTAAACCCTCAAGTTAAGACAATTTTCAGTTTTGAACCAAGGGTTGGGTGAAATTATGTCTGAGTAATCGACATTATGTGAAATAATGCTGTCAAGCTTAGCTTTTTTTGAACTCTGAATCTTTTTAAAGTACAGCTAGAATTGCAGTGTTGTACAGTTGAGGACTTTGAAAAGGAAGCGTGGAGAGTTTAAGCTGATGTACCGCCAGACTGTGTAACCCTTTCTTTAGAGTCTGCAGGGAGGCAAATGTGTTGTATATATGCACTCCTTTGATATACAACATTTATTTTATTCTTACTCACCAAAGCTACCTTCACTGACAGCTGAAAGGAGAGGCACTCTTGAACTGTCTCCCACTCTCACTTTCTTAGTTTCTCTACTTTTTTTTCCTCGGACATGGGGCATTTGCTCCCTGGGCCTTTTTCCTCCCATTCCAACCCTATTAAAACAGCCTCTCTTTTTATATTTATAATGGTTAGGTTGATAGATGAAGGCAGTACCATAGAAGTACGTGGAGAGTGGACACATTTTGTAACACCTGGATTACATAAGTCAGTCTCCGTCAATAGGCATTGTTCAAGTTCTTTATTTATGACACAGAAATGTGGAAAAAGAGCGATGGAGAACTCTTTACTCTTGAACTTAGTCAACACTTACCACACACGGCACATTGCAAAGTTTTATCATGGAACATGAATAAAACATTACACATTTGCCACGGTTTTAGAAAAAGCCGAAAGCACCTGCTAGTCGAATCCAAATGGCAACGGCTAAACAACGCCATTATCCCACCCCCTCCCTTCAAAGTTAGATGTGGGAGACGTGGATGGATAGATGTTTTTGCTCGTGGCTATTTGGTCCCTATGCAGTGTAGTTTGGAGTGGGAGTGAATTAGGGCTGTGGCACGTCAGACGTGCTCCCAGGCACTGGGTGTTTGATGAAGGTGCTTGGCTGGGTAATTGTGACCGGTGGGGATTTCACCTGCCCTGGGTAGAGAAGGCTGCAGCACCGGGTTGTGTGATGTGTATTTGAGGTTAACTAGGAGCCGGCGCTGGAGCTTGATACTATTTGCTGGCCGCTGCAAGGTAAATCTGAAACAAATGTTGTTGTGTGTCAGTTCTGTTGGTCGAACTGCTGTGAACATGAATGTTTGAGGTCCCGTACAGCACATTAATGTGTTGTCTTGGTGATACAACTCAGTCATTCTGTCTTGGAGATGACACATGTTTGCTCAGGGCATCATGGGATTGAATATGCCCCTCTTACACTTAAATGGTGCTGGTGCTCGACCAGGGAATCTGCCAGCCTCTCTCAGAACTGGCCCATGTTGAAAGCCAGACAATGATGTAACTGATTGCATGAAGTGTCCACAATTTATTTATTTATTTTTTTTAAAGTATTGAACTTGGAACATACATCATCCTGTGGTGCGAGATATTGTATGTTGCAAGTACAATACTTTAAAAATTGTAAATTGATTTTTTTTTTTTAAGTTTGAAAGTATTGGAAACATATTTTAACATCCAAAATAGTTTAAAGGGGTGGTACACTGGGTTTTTTCTAGGCTTGATTGTGTTTATGTTAATGCTTAATTTGTAAAAAAACGCATTATTTTTCACATAATTTACATAATTTATTCCAAACTGCTCTGTCCCTTCTCAGAGAAACGGGCTGATCATTTCCTTCTTTTATGAAGCCCCTCCCTCAGAAATACGCGATGGGCTCTAATTGGTTAGCTAGCCCAGTGTGATTGTGATTGGCTAAATCGCCTCTTGTGCGTGTCTAAACATCACGCCCCTCTCCTCAGCGGTATGTGCTCCGGTTGTATTGTAAACAGCTGCGTCCTTAATATCGCTTATCAGTTTGAGCCCGATTGAGAAGCAGAGAATATTATTGAAGAGGATCGTGCAGGACCTGTGCAAGCATGGCTTTTAATGGTAGGCCTATGTTTTTTGTTTGTTGTTGTCTCTTTAAGATACACTGTTATTTGTAAATGCTACTGCTTATGTTAGCTTTTAATATACAGTTTTATCCTGATTAAAGCTTTAATACAGTATGGCAACTGTACGCGTCCATGTTTAACGCTTCTCATAGCTATGTGAAAATAAGTGTATAAATGGAACAGAGCTGAGCTGATGATCTGAATGAGAGAGAGAGAGATGAAGAGCATGTGCAGAGCAGGGGGAGGGACACGAGGAACAGTATTAAGAACCGCTGCTTTAGAACATTGATTTTGAAACTTGTGAATCCATTAGAATCGTTAGAAGACAGAATCGCGATTCATATATGAATAGATTTTTATGTGCACCTCTAGTTTTCTCTTCCTCTTCTCTAAAGCAGCGCAGCATGGCCTCGCCCCCTTTGCTGCCTTTTCCCGAGGGCGGGGTTTATCTGGGTTTGTGATGTCACGAACCCGGGAAGTAGCTCGTTGTAGTCCCTACCAGCCGTTTTTGTAGGCATTAAACTGCCAGAATTTTAAAAGACAATATCTCCGTTTGCATTGAACTTTCAGCTTCGTAACTTTGCAGATATTGTTTATGCTCAAACAGCAACATTAGACACTAACTAACATTAAAAAAGTGAAATCGCAATCAACCACCCCTTTAATTTAGCTTCTGCATGCTACCACATCAAAAGTTACAACAAATAAAATGTATGATTTTTTTTTTTCAATTTGATAATTATGATATTTATAAATCATAACTCATTTTAAATAATAAATAATTTTATTTTAGACCAACAGGGGAAATAAAAGGGAGTTATGAGATTTAAGAACGTACATATTATATACAGTATTACAAATAAAATTGATAGCTGTTGTATATTTATGATAAATTGTATATTTATATTTATGCGCCAGTGCAAACCGTCTTTTGGCATTAAAACAGTACTGTCCAGATTTACTAAAGACACGCAGTGAAGAATTAGTGCTGAAATGGCGTGGGCATAGTTATTTTTGCGCCTGACCTTATTGACTATGCATTTGTAGGAGTTTCCCTTTCAGATGCAAAATTTATGGGAGGAGAGTATTAAAATGAATCACGCAACGCGATTTACTAAT